CCAACTACAGGGACACTGGGGACACCAATCAGGGGACATCAGAGACACCGAGCGTGAGGACATCGGGAACTCCAACCATGGGGACACTGGGAATGCCGAGCACAGGGACATCGGGGACACCAACACGGGGACAGCGGGGGCGCTCACCTTCAGGATGGCGATGCAGTGTGACACCAGGCCCCTGCGGATGGAGGAGGTGTGAATGGGGGCAGAGCCACCCTCAGCCCCGGGGGCAGCGGTGGCACTTTGGGGACAGGCGACGCGGCGCTTACGAGGCGTCCTCGATCCAGTCCTCGTTCTCCAGGATGGCCTCGATGTGTGGGTTGGTGATCACCACATCGTCCAGCTCCAGCTCCGAGGGCTCCGACTGCGTCTCCATGGCCCCGATGAGGTCCACGATGGGTCTGGAGGGGACACGGGTGGCTTTGGGGATGTCTTGGTGCCACCTCTCCATCCCCACTGGGGATCTTCCAATCCCAACGCTACAATGGGTGACGCGTTCCCAGCACTGTCTGCAACCCTTGGGATCTGCACCATCCCATCTGCACCGGGGGCAAAGGGACGAGGACATGGGGACAAGGACATGGGACACCTCTCCATCTTCAGTGGTGTTCCCAAAGGCTTCTCTCAGCCTCAGTGCCATCATGCATGACACCATCCCCAACCAGTGGGGTCCTCACCACCCATTGGGGATGCACCAAAGGACATGGGGACAAGGACATGGGGACACCCTGGTGCCACTTCTCCAATCCCAACGGGGCTCTTCCAACCCAATGCCATAATGCTGACACATCCCCAGCACCGTCCCCAACCCAGGGGGTCACACACACAGCCCAGGGGGACACACCGAGGGACACAGGGACAAGAACACGGGGACAAGGACATGGGGGCACCCTGGTGCCACCTCTCCATCCTCACTGGTGTTCCCAAAGGCTTTTCCCAACCTCAGTGCCATCATGCATGACACCGTCCCCAACACGTGGGGTCCTCACCACCCATTGGGGACGCACCAAAGGACACAGGGACAAGGACATGGGGACAAGGACACGGGACAGCCACGGCGTCTCCGAGCTCACTTGGTGTCATAGGGGTGCAGGAGGTCCTTGGGGCGGCAGTAGCGCTGCCTGCACACCACCACCAGGGCCACGAAGGACGCCAGGAAGATGGTGGCCAAGACCCCGATGGCCACGATGACCACCGTCTCCATGGCTCCCCGTCGGGTTCAGGCGCTGCGCTGCATCTCGGCCCCGGCGGTGCCTGCAGTGGGGTGGGGACCCCCAGAGATCAACGCTGTGGGGCTCTGGGGATCCCGAGGGCAGCTGAGAACCCCAGGCCGGTTCCTATGGGATCCCCAAACCAATTCCAGTGGGGATCTGGAGGACACCAAGACCGGGTTGTATGGGGAGCCCCAAAACCCATCCCTACGGGGCTCTAAAGGACCCCAAGACCAGTTTCCATGGGACCCCTAGAGCCTATCACTACAGGGCTTTGGAGGACAGCAGGAGTGGTTCCTATTGGGAACCCGAAATCTCATCCCTATGGGAACCCCCAAAATCCATCCCCATGCAGCTCTGGAGAACCCCAAAATTGGCTTCTGTGGGGAATCCCAAAGCTAGTCCCTGTGGGGCTGTGGGTGACCCCAGTGCAGGTATCTATGGGGAACCCCTAAGCTTGATTCTGCTGGGGAACCTCAAAGCCCTGTGGGGCCCTGGTGAACCCCTGAGCCTGGCCCCTATGGGGAACCCCACAGCCAGGCCCTATGGGGACCACCAAGGCCTGTCCCAATGGGGGCCTGGGGACCCCAAGACTGGTTCCTGTGGGAACCCCAATCCCTGGTCCCTACAGGGACCCCCAAAACCCAAAACTCTGGAGGACCTCAAGACCAGTTCCTGTGGGGAACCCCAAAGCCGGTCCCTATGGGGCTCTGAGGATCCCCAGGACCAGCTTGCAGAGGGTACCCCAAAGCTCATCTGTATGGGGCTTGGGAGGACCCCAAGAGCAATTCCTATTGGGAATCCCAAATCTCATCCCTATGGGATCCCCCAAAGCCCATTCCTATGTGGGTCTGCAGGACCCCACAATTGGTTCCTATGGGGAATCCCAAAACTAGTCCCTATGGGGCTGTGGTCTATGGGGAACCCCTAAGCTTGATCCTGCTGAGGAACCTCAAAGTGTCGTCCCTATGGGGCTCTGGTGAACCTGGCTGCTATGGGGAACCCCACGGCCAGGCCCTATGGGGACCACCAAGGCCTGGGGACCCCAAGACCGGTTCCTGTGGGGAACCCCAAACCCCGGTCCCTATGGGGCACTCCGAAGCCCATCCCCGTGCGGCTCTGGAGGACCCCGACTCCGGTTCCCACAGGGACGCAGAGCCCCTGGACCCGCATCTCCCTGCAGATTCCCCAACCCCCGGCTCCCCGCATTTATGGGGACCCCGGAGCCCATTCCCTACGGGGCTCCGCTATGGGGCCCGGCCCCTACCTGCGTGCAGCCGGATCTGCGGGGATCGGGGCCGGGAATGGGATCGGGGCACTTCCGCAGCG